GTAAGCGGAAGATGATTGGCTGTCGTGTGGACAAAGAATGAGAGGTAGATTACACCAGAAGCAGGGCTTTCGGGTAGAAAACAGGATGGTGAGCACCTGAACTGAGGCCCTGGCCTTGGGGAAGAAGAGCAAGGAGGGAAGTTAGACAGCTGTTTAGGGGTGGGGTGGACAGTACTAAGTAACCTGGCGTATCTGGATGATATTGGGGAAGCAGAGGCACAGCTGAATTGAGGTTTCTGGTTTTGGACAGTGATAGACAGGTGTTGCATTCCCCAGCCTAGGAAACTGCACAGGGGTGTGGGACAACAGCTCCGGCTGCTGACCCCCCAGCTCCCCCAGATCTGGCTTTACCCTTCTCTGTCCAGCTCAGTGCTGAGAGGCTGATGTCTAGGACTACATCTACAGGGACCATCACCCAGGCTGCTGGCCAGCTGGCTTCCTGGTGGGATCCAGACAGAATGGAGGAGCAATGGAGGGATTGCTCTCCCCCACCGACTCCTTCCTGGGTCTACACAGCCCCGTCCACAAGCACCACTGCAAGGGTCCTGCCCTCAGTGGGCTCTGGAGACGCACTGTCCTGCCTGGCCCACTTGATCCTAGGGTTGGTAACAATTTCTCACTTTCTCAATGCCTCAGCATAACTTCATTTGCCCCTTACCCCTTAAGGAGTCCCTTCACTAAAGCCTCTTTCTTTCAGCTATCCGAGGGACTCTGTCTCCTGCAGGGAGGCTAACATAGGCAGGGCCTGTCTTACTGACTTTCCTGCCTGGCACCTGCAGAAGATCGCCCCTCACTCACAAACACTGATAGAAAGCCAGGAAGTGGCTCTCTGCAACTCACGCCATCGTTTCCTTGTGAGAGAAGCCTTGGGTATTTGGAATGGCTACAGGGAAGGGTTGTTTTCAGAGGGAAAACATGAATTATGGGTAGATTTAAAGCAAATGTAACTTGTGTGTTGTTGTCTGCACTGAAATATAATAAAGCATTTCACCGAAGACCAACTTAAAAAAGGGGTGGGGGGGGAATCAACCTTTCTAACCGCGCTTTCCAAATCCATCTCAAAGGTTGACTTTTCCCTCATCAAGTCTACCTCGACTGGACCAATCCGAGGAGCAGTGCAAAAAGGTCTACTCACCCCGAGTACAGCGCCTTGAGCCCTTCTTCCCGGCCTATCCGCACCAGCGCGTGCAACATCCCCCGGTACCGGATTTCCTTAAAGTTGGCATCATTTGCCTGGCCTTGAATCTGGAGGCGTGTCTTGGTTAAATCAATTGGAAATGTGCCTTGAAAGTGCAAAGGAAAACTTTTAAGAAACCCAAGTTCCACAAGGTAAGGGCTCCATGGAGGTGTATTACTGAGGAAATACTCAGACTACAACGTTAAACCAAGAAAGGGAACGAAGCCATGGCTGGCACGTCAGTCTTTTTTTATTTTTTAGACTCTTTTTAAGAACTGAAATATGACTGAAACCTCAAAAATAAATAAGTACCCACACATGTTCCTGTTACTACTTTTAAAACCATATGCCCTGCCTTTTCCTCCTAGAGTTCTAGAAGCCTCCACTGCTGTGGAAATGACCCATCCATGGAGGGAGGTAGACAAACAGAAAAGTCCACTAGGAGACAAGTTACTGTTCTTTACCCATAAAAGGCTGGGTTCGATGAAAATGAAGTTCACTTTCTACGTGATTTTGCATGTTTCCAACATCAGCAGTATTTTAGAGCTTAAAATCTGACACTGTGGGAGAGAGACTGGGCCCTCTACTCCTGTAAACAGCTTTGGTCTTGGAAACCCACAGGGGGTCGCTGTGCGCCAGCGGTGACTCGGTGGCAGTTTCATCTAGGAGTTACCCAGGGTCACACAGCACCTAACAGACTGGATACAGTCGCGCTGCCTGCGAGTGGCGCTCCGCTGTGCGAGAGCAGGGCTGCTCAGCGCCGTGTGTGCTCACGGCAATGGAGGTGGCGCAGAGCCTAGGTTTGTCTTCATGATGCCGTCTGTCTGGGGGTCCCAACCACCACCCTTAAGTAGTGGAGGAATGGAAACCATTTGTACCGCCTAGGAACCTGTCAGGTAAGCATCGGGCTGCTAACCATACAGGCCAAAAAAACCCCAAATTCACTACCACTGAGTCAATGTGGGCTCACAGCGAACCCCTGTGGGTTTTCAAGACTGTAACTGTTTATGGGAGTAGAAAACCCAGTCTTTGTCCTGTGGAGCTGCTGGTGGTTTCAAACTGCTGACCACGCGGATCACAGCCCAACGAGTAACCACTGCACCACCAGGGCCCATGGATCAAAACCACCAGTTGCTCCACAGGAAAAAGCTGAAACTATCTGCTCCCCTACAGATTTACGGCCTCAGAAACCCTGGTGCCGTGGTTCTTGATCGCTTTGGGGGTCGAACGACCCTTTCACAGGGGTCACCTAAGACCATCAGAAAACACCTATTTCAGACGGTCTTAGGAATTGAGACACTGCTCCTCTATCCATCTCCAGGCAGGTCCACCCACATGCAGATACTGCCACACATGAGTACCCGGCGTGAAGACTGTTCCCCATACTCCACCATGCTTCAAGACAAAACTTCATTTATTGTCATTAGAAATCAATATTTCACCTTATATAACTACATAGTTTTATGATTAATCAAGATGCTTTAATTATGTTCAATTTGCAACAATGAAAATACATCCTGCATATCAGATATTTACATTACGATTCATCACAGTAGCAAAATCACAGTGATGAAGTAGCAATGAAAATAATTTTATGGTTGGGGGTACCCCATGAGGAACTTCATTAAAGGGTCACAACATTAGGAAGGTTGAGAACCACTGCCCTAGAGGGTCACTGTTAGTCAGAATTGACGGGGAGACACTGGGGTTGGGTCTTTTGGAGGGACCTAACCAGTCTGACACCACCAGCCGCTCCTCAGGACAAAGATGAGGCTTTCCACTCCTGTGAAGAGTTCGTCTGGGGAAGCCGCAGGAGCAGCTCTCCCCTGTGCCAGGGTCACTGCCAGTCGGAATCTGCCCGAGGGCAGTGAGTGCGGTTATTTTAACCTATTTTAAACCCAGCCTCAGAATGCACAGCTGATGGATGCCCTGTGGCAAAGAAAGTCCACCGGCACACAGACCTAAGGCGGTAGGTGGGTGGATAATGTGGACCAACCCCTAAGTCCAGGTTCTCCCTGGCTCCTGAGACAGCAACAACTAGAGGCCAGGAAACAAATCACATGCCCAATCCAGTTGCTGAAGGTGAAAGAATCAAGAGGAATACACAAAGGGCCCATGGGGCTCTGGCGTGGGACCCCTTGATGAGGCAGCCACGAGGAGAGTGTGTGTGCACACAGAAACAGACTGAAGAAGTACAGTCAGTCCACCCTGGCTCAAAGGGGCCCTTGAGCATCTCAAAACATCTTCACAGCCAAGTGTGTGAACTGTGGAGGGTCGGGGAAAGGGGGACTTGACGCTATTCAAAACCAAGTCATGAAACTTCTCCACTTCCCCCCCAATAAAGGACCATTTTGTCTTCAAAATCAGGGAAACATTCAGAACTCTGGGATTGTTTCATAATCACACAGTGAGATTGTCCTTACACACACTGCAAGCCCCCAAGCCCACGAAGTGGCCCAGGAAGCACCCAGCTTACCGCACTCGGCCGTGATGGAGGCCAGCCCGCCATACACAAAGGGCTTCCAGTTGAGGGCCGACATCCTCACTCACCGCCCTTCTCCTTTGCCTTACAGACACAGAGCTTCCAACATGGCGGTTCCTGGACACAGAAGTGAGGCGGTTCAAATGTATAAGTTCTCACTGGTGGTTTCTTCCCTAAACTCTTTCAGTAAAACCCCCTGCAACAAGGTACCCTTCAGCCCCTACATAGAAACCCCTTCTTTCCCACTACAACAGCCCTCCGCCCTCTGTAACAAGCCCCAAAGGGGGCCTGGTCTTGATAAGATAAAGCACCCATATGCCCTGTACCCCAAGCCGGTGATTACTGATCTCACAGGAACACACCCGGTGGGTGTGCTGCCCCACCGCACAGAGGAATGGGACACGTTTCTATACACCACACCACACACCACCCCTCTCCCCTGATCAGTTGCCCTAATTTTCCTTCAGGCCTTATGAAGTAATCCAATAGGCTGCTACCCAAGTATTCAGTGTGGTACAGTGAAATCTCGTTTCTGGACAATCCATTCTATCTTTTATCTGTTTGCCCGCACTCAGTAAGTAACCGCTGATCTCTGCCACGGTCTGAGAGGCCCTACAGGGAGGCAGCGGAGGCGTGTGCATTGCTATCATGCGGAACAGGTTTCAGTAGAACATCCAGTCTAAGATCAACTAGGAATAAGAACAAGCTGACACTCAAGCCACAAAAACCCTGTGGGCCACAGGAGTCAGACCTGCAGCCTGTCAAGGGGGTGGTGCGGGGCTGGGTAGCACTGCATTCCACTGTGCCAACTCAGTGTGGGCTCCCTCAGCATGCTGCTGCTGTGAGTGGACCCCTGATCCCACTCCCAGGAGCCAGAAGGACTTCCAAGGCCGTACAACTTTGCAGAAGCAGGCTGCTACATGTTCCTCCCAGGGAGCAGCTGGTGGGTTTGCAATAATGAGATGGTTTCAACAAATCTGTGGGGAAATGCCATTTTCATTACATTTTCCCCCATGAACTTGAAGCTCCCTGGTAACCCATGTGCTTATTTTGCCAAGTTTAGGGATTTCACTAGCCTGCATTTCTCAGGGAAGGCCCATCACAAGGCCTCCACCCCAAGATCTGTTCTCAATAAGGCCAAGGGCCTTGCTTCTGCAAGAGAAAAGATTCCAAAGAGGAGCCTGAATACCAGGGGTTCCCCGCAAAAAACAAAAACAAAAACAGAATTCCCCCCACCCCAGGTATGTCTTTAAATTTTTTAATAAAATGGTCAAATCACTTTTAAAGTACTTTTCCATTACACCTAACACATTTGTCTAATCTGCAATTCCATTCTTGGAAACATTTTTCAAACTCATGTGTTTGGCTGGCTGACAGCAGGTCCCTCGCTTTTTTCTTCACCTCTTCTACATCATCAAATCACTGTCCTTTCATGTCTCTCCTCATTTGTGGAAACAAAAAGAAGCTGCACTGACTAAGCTCAGGTGAGTCAGTTCCATGGGGGCAAGAGAAGCATGGTGTTTTTTGCCAAAAACTGGCGCACAGAGATGGCTGTGTGAGCGGGTGCATTGTCGTGGTGGCAAATCCAGTCCCTCGTCTGCCACAATCAGGCTTTTTTTGTCACACACTGTTACGTAATGTTTTTAGAACCTATTAATTGAAAGCTTGATTAGAAGTGGTGGAACAAATGTCAAATGCACTATCCCCCTCACATCAGATCCAGTGTTAGGGGTACCCCCCTCGCAAACCCACCAATAACGATCCCTGCTTCATAGCATGAGCCACGTGCAGAGCGGCCACAAATGAAGAGGGTGGCTGGCCTCCCAAGCGGGGATCTTGTGTTCTCATGTTCTTCAGAACTCAAGAGTCAGCCCTCAACCAACATAAAACAACAAAAGCCTTTCATCTCCCTATGATCCTTGGAAACATTTACTACCCTACTTCGAAATTCTTACACACACACACAGAGTTTATTCCACCTCACGGTGACGCCCCGGGTGTATCCCAGTAGAAATGCGCTACACACACACACACAGAGTTTATCCCACCTCA